GGAGCTGGAGAGGCGGAGCTGGAGAGGCGGAGCTGGAGAGGCGGAGCTGGAGAGGCGGAGCTGGAGGCGGGCGGCCCTCTAGGGGATTGTGAATAAGCCATGCGGGGCCGGCCGCGTGTCCAGCCGCTGTTCAACCCCCGACCCCTCCCCGTTCCCTCTGGGCCGTCAGGGGGCGCTGCTCACTTTGCTCACATGAGCCAGGGGAGGTAGTCCAGGACGTCGGCGCCGCTCAGCTCGGCCAGCAGGCTGGCGAAGAACACGACCGTCATGGCCACGGCCACCAGGTACACGGAGGACGCGGCGGCCACCACCAGCGGCGACACGACCAGCGGGGTGGGCACGCCCCCGAGCCGCACGCGCCACGGCCGCTCCATGGGGCCAGGGCGAGGGGGGGGGGGGGGGGGGCCACGCCCCCCCGGGGGGGGGGCCCCCCCCCCCCCCCCCCCCCCCCCCCGCCCCGCCGGGGGGGGGGGGGGGGGGGGGGGGGGGGGGGGCGCCAGACCCGGCCGAGCGAGGCGACATTCACATGGAAATGAGCAATAATGGCACCATCTTGCCGCGCCCGCCTGGGGTGGAGGGGGGAGGGGGGCTTTACTATGGCATGGCGCTGCCGCCTCTATTTGTCTCCCTTCGCTCGCACCCTGCGCCACCCGTGCGTAAATTGGATAGGACTTTTCAGTGCCCACCACCTCGTCCAAACGACGCTTTAGCCGCTTCATGAGCCCCCGGTATGGCCCCTGGCAGCCCAGCCGAGCCCAACTCTGCTCCGCCCCGCCCCGCCACGCTCTGGTCGCGTTCGTTTATGACGCGGTGCCTGCCCCGCCCCGCCCGAAGCGTCCCGACGCTACAGCCCCACGGCGCTACCCTACGTCGGGCAGTAAAGCGGCACTAGATGGCGCTGCCTGCCGGTGGCGCTCTTGGACCGTATCGCCGGTGTCGCCTCGCGGTGGACATACATGGGACACACGGCCCGCGGGGCGAGGCGGAGCGGGGCGGGGGGCGGGAGGGGCCGCTCGGCGATTCCATAACGCTTTAACGGCCCCAAAAGCAACATCTCGCCGCAAAACGCCCAGTCCGCGCCGCTTCTATACGGCGCGACCGCCACGCACGATACACTCGGTCACGTGCGTCAACAGCCACCCGGGTGTCGCAACGGCGACGGCAAAGGAGTCGCCCAAAAGTAAAATAAAAAAAAATAATAAAAAAAATTAAAACGGCCATCACGCCAGGTGGCCAAAAAAAGAAATTGGCGGTACAGTCTAAAAATTTAGGCTGAGGCGAGGCTTGCATCCCCCGTACAAGGCCGTGGGCGCGCGGCCGGACTTGTGCCTCCGGGTGGACTCACCTGTTGTCGACGTCGGCCGTGTCCTCCAGCACGGGCCCCGCGCTCACGTCCACGCCCATGGAGCCGATGTCGAGGTTCTTGTAGTTCCTGCGCGCGGCCGCGTCGTCCTGGCCGGGGGTGACGCCCTGCTGCGCGCGCTGGCTCAGCTCGGCGTACAGGTGCTCGTAGTAGAGCAGGTCCTCCTCCGTGTTGGAGTTGAGCTGGTCCTCGTGGAGCAGGTGGTAGTTGGGGTTCTCATAGCTCAGCAGGCCGTTCTCTGCAAACAAGAGAAACGCAACGTTATAATGGGTGGCGATGGATATGCGTTGGGACGCGAGACAGACACAGTCAGGAGGAGACGAGAGACAGACGTTGGGCCGCGAGACAAAGTCCCGAGGAGACGAGAGACACGCGTCACGTCCACACGTCTCCATCATGGCCCCAGCACTTTGCGCGAGCTGGTTGGGACTACACCTCCCGGAGCCTGGAGGGATTTACGACACTTCCAAATTAAGCACCCCGAAGAGAAACCTCCACTCCCCCGCACCCCCTCCCTCCCCTTCCCCCCGCAAGGAGCTGCTCCTCTTCCACCACTAACTAACTACCAGGCCAGCGATGTGTATATCCCTCCCAGGTGTCCGGGGATCGTGGGGAGGGAGGGGGGGGGGCAAGTTTGTGTAGCGAGCTTGGAGGGGAGGTGGTTGTAACGAGGGTAAAATGAGCCGTCAGTGAACTTCATCAAGTGTACCCGGCACAGCAGCCGGCCCGAGCCAACGCCGTTAAAAATAAAACGACTTTCATCAAGGAGTACTCCGCCGGCTCGCCGCAAGGGCAGCATCCACGTTTCAACTACTACTCGCCGACGTGGAGGAAACCAAGCACCCCTCCCCTCAGCGCAGGTAGTGGCGGAGTGGTGTTTGGGGCCGTTTAGAAACCACGTGACTTTAAGAGAGGGTCCAAATATCATGGGGTCCAAAAAGGATCGGTATGGCCCCGACGGGCCATTGGAGTCCAAAGGAAACCATGTTATGTGTACCCCACAATAAAAATATCATGAAATCACCACAGACCGCCATAGACCAGAATCATGACTGTCGGGTATTCTTTTGGGACCCCAAAATATTAGAAGCCCTCCCTCCCCCTCCTAAAACGTGTTTTCTGAACTGCCCCCTCTCCGCGGTTACCTACTGCGCTCGACTCTGGGGCAGGGCGGCTACCTCCCACCGCACCCCACCACGGCCCTCCAGCCGCAGCGTACCGTGAGCAATGACACTATCATCCCGGCCCCCCTGAGACGGCACGTGGTACATACTGCATGACGTGGCACCGCGGGGGGAGGGGGCGTGCTGCCGTGGAGAAGGGAGGAGAAGGGCGAGGAGGAGGGTGAGAGGAGGTTACAAAAGGGCCGTGAGGGCCAACAGGCCTCTGCTGCTGAGGCCGAGGCCGGAGCCCGGCCATGAGGAGGGTCACGGTGGAGCGCAGTGGAGGCAGTGGGGCTCGAGCCGCAATGAAACAAGCGGCCCTAGTCATGGTAAAGGGAGGAGCTAAAACGTGGCGTTTAATTTTCAAAATGGACGGCGAGCTCGTGGTCTTTTCTCTCTCACTTTCTTTCTGTGTGTCCCTCTCGCTCTCACTCTCTCACAGACCCACACACACACACTCACACGTGTTGGGGCAGTGGAGCTGCGGCCCGCTCACGAGCGAAACGGCCGAGCAAAACGGAGCCGCTGAAATATTCACGGCTGCAAAATATTTTGCGCGCGCACCTCAGCTCTTACGTCTCTCTCTCTCTCTCTCTCTCTCTCCTCTCACCTCAGCCCCGACAAGGCGGCCCCCGACCCCCGGCCCGTCCGACGCGACGCTCCCCGATGACGAGCCAGCCCGTGATCACCACCGCGGCTAACAAGCGCGCGGGGAGCGATAGGCACTGCGGGGCTAATGGATAGCGGGGCCAGCGGGGCACGCAGCGCAGCGCCCGTGAGGCCCGGGGCCCCTGACTGAGCCGTGCACAGCCCGCTGGTCCCCGCGGGTCTGTCGGACAGCCGCCATCAATAATAAACAGCACCCCCCCCCCTTCTCTCTCTGTCTCTCTGTCTCCCTGTCTCTCTGTCTCTCTCTCCCTCTCTTCTCTCTCTCTCTCTTCTCTCTCTCTCTCCCTCTCTTCTCTGTGCCCCCTTTGGGTCAGTCAATGACACACCGGGGCATAGAGGGGAGGGGGGAGGGGTGCACGGTAGACGGAATCGATACTCATTGGGGACGGCTGCTCTCCGCACTGAGCTGCACTCTCTCCCTCTCCCTCTCCCCCACTCCCTCCCTCCACTCGCGTCACGTCATGCCGCGGCCGAGCTGATTCACGGGAATGTTCGGGGCGGCCTGCGCGGGGCGTGCGAGCCGCACCCTGACCTACCACGTCAGGTCCCACTCACGATGATCCATATGGTCACATAAATGCACTGCACCGAAAGGCCAAGTGTGTAAGAGTAACACACTTTCGTAGGTGTGAAAACGACATTCGAACACAGGAAGGCATAAGTGTGTGAATTTCTAAGGAAAATCCACACCTTTTACTTCCGTAAGTGTAAGAATGGGCATTCGCACACCTATAAGTGTGCGACATTCACACACTTGCGTTTCCAGAAGGCAAGCAAAAGGGACCCCTTCTCGGACTCGACGTGCTGGGTGGGTCGCCCCGCTCCCGCCCCGCCTAGACGGGCTATAGACAGACGGCCACCCGGCCACGTCAAAGACTGCAGCACCGTGACCTCCGGGAGTCAAGTTCCCCTTTCACCCCGCCTAAAAGATGAGATAACGGAGACAATACCCGTCGCACGCACCCGTCAGTGTGATAAGGTATATGGTTTTTAATTTGCGGTGGTTCGATAGAGTTGTTGCTCTCGCCAACTCGCCCCTTATATCGTGTGTATCTTTCCCGCAACCGAAGCCGTAAACAGTCCCGCCCGTATGACTGAGTTTTAAGCTGACAAATCGTCCGAATCACCTTGATTAGATTTTATGTGAAAATCCTTGCTTGCTGATACTTTAGAACTTTTAAACAACACCGTTTTTCCTAGAGAGTATCTTTTCGAGCTCCTTTATGAAGCCATAAATGCGGTGCACCGCCGGTGTCTTTCTGGCACTAATATTCTTATAATTTGTGGATTATAAAACAATGAAGACTACGATTGTCTTTTGCTGTTGTCTTTTTACCCCCGGTGTGGTTGGCAGCAGTGTCGGGAGTGGAGTGACGGGCCGCGGGTAAGACGAAACCAGAATGAATGGATAGCGAGATGCAAACTCGTCCCTTTTTCTTGCTCTGCAATGACAACGACAAATGAGGAGGCCCTCGCGACGCCATGTCGTGTCGTGCCGAGGGTCTGGGCCGTAGGCCGCGGGCGGGGCAGGTGGAGTGGCGGGG